GGAAAATTCTATAATTGGCAAATATTTAAGAATACATCTCAAGATGCATAAAATCTATGAATCAGAACACAAAAAACGTTATAAAATAATTTAGGAAAAGAAAATGTCTTTAGTTTTTCACCATTATATGAGAATAATCCAACTAAGGAAGCTAATAAATGTACCATTTTGTTTGCTAGAAGAACTTATTAATTTCATGATAGTTTTTAGAACAACCTTTAGAAGTAGCAAGACATTTATATCTCCTAACTGATTGATCTGCATAGTCAATCTTTCTTAGCACTTTCTTCCAAAAGTCATCTGATGCCTCTGAAATCTGTTGAGAATAAGCATCAATTACTTTGAGAATATTTAAAAAGAAAAAAATGCTTTATGAAACTTTAGAGTTAGTTGTCTTTGAGAAAAATGTAAAGGATTTTTTATTTTCTCCGGAAAAAAATATGATTATTGATATATATTTATCTTATATGACTGCAAGTTCAAATTTAATTGCCAGCTTAGGAGACAACGTATTATTATTATATAATGAATATAAAAGAATGAACTAGTAAGTAGAACAATCTTGTCCCATACCCATGATTCATTTTTGTTATATGCCATTGAGTCAAGTACAATCATAACAATCCTAAGACCAGATCTGAACCCAGTCCTATCCTGTGCCATCCTCATCATCTCAGATGTAGACAGACCCATTGCCGTCACTGTGTCAATCCATCTTGTTGAGGGTCTTCAACTCTCTTTCGCTGATTTTACACCTCTCTAAGCATGATGACCCTTTCTAAGGAACAGTCCTTCCTACGAACATGCCCAAAGTGTGAGATGAAGCTTCACAACCCTTGTTTCCAAAGAGCACTCTGGCTGCCCATACTTTTCTCCAAGACATATCTGATAGTTCTTTTGGCAGTCCATGAGCTACTCAGTACTCCTCTCCAACACCACAACTCAAAGGCATTGGTTCTTCTTGTCCTTATTTTATCCAGTTCTCAGATGTACAACTAGTGATGGAAAAGACTATGGCCTGATTCAGGTGCACCTTAGTCTTTAAAACGACATCATTGTTCCTCAGTACTTTAGAAAGGTCCCTGACAGTAGACCTTCTCATTGTAACATGTCTTTTGATATCTTGACTGGTGGTGCCAAGAGAGCAGACTGTAGATTCATACAAGATAAAAATGTCAACTATTTCAGGTGGTTAGACTTCCTAAACAACTTGCCTCTGGAAACTATGAACTTTGATAAATGTTGATAGTTGTAGAGGGACTTCAGGCCTTTTGTTTATAGGGTCGCTATGAGTTGTGCTCAACTCGAAGGCAATCAACAACATTAACAACAAATGGCTAAGTAGTATTTCATTGTGTGTAAATAAAGCATTGTTATCTGTTAATCTATTATTGGACATTTCAGCTGGCTATGTGAACAATGATGCTGTGATGGACATGTGCAGATTCCTACTTGCATTCTGGCTTTCATTTCTTCTGGGCATATGTTTTGGATTGGGATTAAGGGTCATAGGCTCAAGGTTCCTCGCCTCTTTTTGAAATCACCTCTCTATTCAACAACTCATTGCTGGCCCTCTAGTGAGTTTTCAGATGTTATGAATCAAGGGAGGAGATAGCCCACATTTCTCCTGCGAAGCAGCAGGATTTGAATCACCTTCCTTAACTCTCTAGACGACCAGAGCTCCCTCAAAGACATCTACTATGACTTAAAGAATTCGAGTCTTATATTTATGTTTTGCATCTGCTAGGGGTTCCCACTGACTTACAAGACACTACAAATTAGAGGAGAAAAATCTGGTCTATGAGTAATTTTCCCTTAGGTTAACATTTCTTGAAAGAAAACTTTGTTTTAGAAAGCTGGGAGAGTAGCCTGCCTTTAGAGCTCCCATCCAGGCTGCCTAAATAAATGCCTTGGGCTCCTAACATTCTCTGATCAGGAAGCTGGGAAGTGGGCCATCTTTTCTCCTCCAGTTTCTTCACCTTACCAGAGCAGCCTTCCTACCCCTTGTTCTGAGCACACAGTTTCTTTGTCTTTTACATATTCACAGCACTATATGGCACACAGCCAACCACATTTCTATATCTGTTTCTGGTGGGCAGGAATGAGGTCTCTGGTAGTACAGCACAACAGAGGCATGTGTTGAACATCTGCCCTGCACCTGCCACACGCAGGAGGTGCCTGCTGGCCATGGGGGAATGATGCCCACTAGTGAATTTGATTTCACTCTACTTTCCCGTTCTACATCAGTAAATAATTTCTCATGCCCTGATGGAGCATCCCTGTAGTCTTTTACTGGCAATTTTGACTGCCTCAACATAGAAACATTCAGAGCAAAGAGTAAGGTAAGTAGTACAGAAACATTTATATTTTGGATTTTTTTAGCAACATATTTTATAGTGACAGGACATTTTTGCTATAGTTAGTTGCTGTTGAATCCAATTCATAGTTTTTCTTGTATAACAGAATGAACACTCCTGATTTCACAGAATCTCCATAACAGGTGCTTTGCTTAAGCCCAATGTTGCAGTCACTGTCGATCCCTCTTAAGTGTCTTTCTCCTATTTCACCGACCCTCTACTTTTCTAAGCGTGGTGTCCTTCTTCAGCAACTTACTCCTCCTGATAACATATTCAGAGTGTGTGAGTTAAGTCTTGCTGTCCTTCTTCCAAGATGGATTTGTCCGTTCTTTAGGTAGTCTGAGATATGTGCAATATTCTTTGTCAACACATTCAAAACCGTAAACTCTTCTTTGGCCTTCCTCATTCATAGTCCAATCTTCACATGTGTATGACGGAAATGCCATGGTTATGTTGTTAGGTGCTGTCGTGTCAACCACGACTCACAGTGACCCTATGCACAGCAGCACTGAACTCGGCTCTATCCTGCATCATCCTCACCACCTCTGATATACTCGAGCCCACCGCTCCAGCAGCTGCGTGAATCCATCTTGTTGAGGGTCTTCCTCTCTTTTGCCGACTTTCTGCCCTCCCAAGCACAATGTTCTTTTCCAAGGACTGGCCTCTTCTAATACCACGCCCAAAGTATGTGAGACAGGGAGTTTCATCATCCTTGCCTCCAAGAAATACCTTTGCTGTACCTTCTCTGAGACATGTTTTTTGTTTTGGGGTTGTTTTTTTTCCAGCCCATGGGATATTCAGCCCTCTTCAACTCTACAACTCAAAGGCTTTGATTCTTCTACTGTCATCCTCAGACCATATCCAACTTTCAGATGCAGGAAGTAACTGAAAAGACCATGGCTTGAATAAGAAACACTTTAGTCTTCAAACTGGCATTGCTGCTTTTCAGTACCTTGGAGAGGTCCCTGACAGCTGACTCACCCAATGCAGCACTTGATTTCTTGGCTGCTGCTGCCAGGGACTGTAGATCCATGCAAGATAAAATTTTTAACCATTTCAAAGGGGATGAGCAGAGAAAGAAAATGGTTTTGGCTCTTTAAATGTTTATCTCCCAAATTCACAGAGGTACAGAGGCAGAACCACAGACTCAGGGGTGGTGCCCTGTGGGTAATGGCTCATTTCTGTGGGGTAGAGTGGAAGGGAGTTGGGATGGGGTGATGAGGGCATGAGGAGGAAGCAATAAGATTTAAGTTGTTTTTATTTTAGAAAAAGGTAACTTTTTATAAAAATTGGGAATGTGTGTGTTCACAAGTGCTCACATTATTGTGTGACTTACTGCTTAAGTCTCGTCATTAGTATAAAACATTTTATAATTTATATTAATCCTTTAGGTTTTGCATGTTTTTCATATATGAAATTATATTATGACATGTTAGTTTTAAGATTTCTCTCAGCATTGCATAACCAAAATTATGAAACAAAATATTCACTTGTTTTCTATAGTTTCATTGCTTTAGAAAAAGATGTTTTAATGATTAAAAAATAAATTACAAAAATCTGTTGTTTCTAAATCTACCAACTCATCTGAACACCAAAAAGAAATCTTTTTTAACAAAAAGAAATGCATAAAAGAACAGAGATACTAATATACAAGTCCTTTAATCTCTATTATTCAGCTTAAATAATTACCTAAGTAGTCAGTTTTGTCTTATCTGTATTCCATACAAAACTTCTGCTTTCTCTCAGCTAATTTTGAAACAAATCCTAGATACTGTACATTTAATTCATAAACATTTTGGCACTTATCTTTGAATAAAAAGGATTGTTCTTAAGAGAGAAATAGGATGATACACATAAAGTATAACAATTTTTAAATGGATGTATTGTACTTGCTGGTTATTTTTTTATTGTGAATCTCTCTCTCTTTAAGATAGACATCTGTATCTATCTATTATATATCAACCTAACTCTCTCTCTCCATGTATAATTTGCCATTTTGACCATTTTTACATTACCTTCAGTGACATTACATCTCGGCTATTTTAAAATCATTGTTTTGATATAGTTGGCTTATCATGTCCCAGGAGTACAGGGAAGCAGAAAAGCACAATGCTCTTGACATTGGCTTTGAAGAAAGATGGACACTTTAATGTGAACCCAGTTTGCCATAAATAGCTGTGTGACCTTAATAAAAAGTACTTAATTCTGAGAATTGACATAAATGAAAACCTTACAGCCTAAGTATGAGTTCACAGCTAAGCATTTTAGTAACTCTGTATTTTCTTTTTTTCTAAGCGCCTTTAATAAAAAAAAAAATACTAACTCAAAGTTCTTTTCCTACAATTTTGTTGGAAATAAAACAGCAAAAATCAACCATAGCTGCTTCAGTATCAAGTGCAAAAAAGCATTTCATCATCCAGTAGGATACTCTCCTATGAACAATGATCTTACAGCTTCAAATTATTAAAAAAGCAATGAAATAAACACACGTGTCTAAAGGGAGTTTATACCTTTCAGCACATAATCTCTCCAAGAGAATGTTGTGTATACATATATAAACCAATAATTTCACATCTGTTAAAACATTGCTCAGCAAGATCACCACATGAAGAAGATGCAAGATTAAGAGGCCATAGGCAGTGCTTACTTTCTCTAAATGCCTTACAGTAGCCAAGGAACGACAACAGAAAGAACAGGGCACACAGCAGGTCTGCACGACCAACAACACCAGCAACCTTAAGAGAAGGAAAGAAAAAAGATTTACATAAACAAATTTAAACAAAATCTAAAACAACAACAAAAAACCTTAGAAATATAACAAAAAACCTGACTCCTTAGCATACTCAACCATCTACTAAAATAAACTATATAACTATGCAATGAATCTTTGATTTAATTCCTGTTTCCAAGAGAACACTAGATCGCTTTGATATTCTGTGAGAAAAAAAGATATTGCTACATGGAGCAAAAACCACAAACAAAAGAATATACAGATATATGGAGCAAAACCAAAGTTATTTAACAGACTCTCCCCTTTCCCCCAAAGCTCTGGTGGTACAGTGTGTTACCATCTACTAAAATAATCCAAATAACTATGTAACAAATCTATGATTTTATTTCCAAGAGAACATTGCATCACTTTGATATTCTGTGAGAAAAAAAAATATGGATATATAGAGCAAAACTAAAGTTATTTAACACCCTCCCAAGCCCTGGTGGTGTAATATGTTATGTGTTGTGCTGCTAGCTGATAGGCCAGCAATTAAAACCTAGTAGTTGCTCTGCAGGAGCAAGATGGGCAGTTTCCTTTCTCAATGACTTACAGCTTTGGAAACCAGAAAATACAATAAAATTGCTAGAACCAGCAAAGTGATCTACAGTTTCGTTCCACATCTGCTGATGGCCTTCTTTTTCACCTGTGTGATGCCATTGTTGTTAGGTGCCACTGAGTCAAGTATGACCCCTAGTGACCCTATGAACAGCAGATCAGAACTCTGTCCTATCTTGTGCCCTCCTCATACTTCCTGATACACTTGAGTCCACTGCTGCAGTCTAAGCCACATATTATTTGAGTAGACATGGTACATTAAGAAACCAGCACCAGACTGAATTTTAAATTGATATTCTTTTCATTTTTGCAAATTAGTGAAGATACTTTAAAATCTTTAAGCAGTATATATTAGATCATCTAACATCAAGAAAAATAATTTTGTAAAGTATCATATCATTTGAAGGAAGAAGTTCAAGTTGCTTTGAATGAAATAGCAAAAAATAAGGCCCCAGGAATAGATGATATACCAATTGAAGTATTTCAGATAACAGATGTTGCCCTGGATGTGCTCA